GTGTGTGTGTGTGCGCGCTGTAGGGTGTGCTGACCTGATGACGCTGGACACCATGACCCCTCAGGAGAGGAAGAGACAAGGTTACATCCATGAGCTCATCCAGACTGAGGAGACCTACGTGGAAGACCTGGAGCTGGTTCTAGAGGTACAGACGAACACAAACATACAGGCATATTCAGGAATCATGAACCTCTTTCTCCAGAATCTGAACTATTATTGTTTAGTGTTTTATTTTTCTTTCCATTTGCATCCGTCTGTCTCTCAGGTCTTCCATAAGCCCATGTCTGAGTCAGGCCGTCTAACAGAAGCTGAGATGGGAGTGATCTTTGTTAACTGGAGAGAGCTGATTATGTGTAACACCAAATTACTCAAGTAGGTATCACACACCATCTGTATGAACCATTCTAGTGAATGTAAATCTGCTCTGCTTCTTGAAACACTGAAATGGAAGTTTCTGGCTACCATGTGCTAAATAGAGAAAACATATTTATAGGAAAAATCTACTGTAAAACATTAGAATTTTATACTATGGCCCATTTGGCCTACAGAGTCAGTGGGCATGGGAAAACGCTGTTTGAGTTCCATCTGGCTTAGCACATTTTTGTGAGATGTAACAAAAATCATGTTCTACATCATCCCAGGGCGCTGCGTGTGCGTAAAAAGACAGGAGGAGAGAACATGCCGGTTCAGCTCATAGGAGACCTGTTGGCTTCGGAGCTCGCTCACATGCAGCCCTACATCCGCTTCTGTTCCTGCCAGCTCAACGCCGCCGCCCTGCTGCAGAGCAAAACCCACAACCAGCCCGACTTTAAAGACTTCCTCAAGGTACGAGTTGTGGATGAAGACAGAGACAGACCAGACATGGTTGTGTGAGATGCAATAAAATATCAATCTTTTTTCTGCCTCCTCTCGAGCAGAAGATAGCCACTAACTACCGCTGCAAAGGAATGCCGCTGTCCAGCTTCCTCCTCAAGCCCATGCAGAGGATCACACGCTACCCCCTGCTCATTAAGAATGTGAGTGGGAAAATTCGCGATTTGCCCTAATTACAATATATTCGTTATGTGATTCCATGTTTTCCCTAATGTGTCTCCTGTTGGTCAGATCCTGGAGCACACCCCAGATGGTCATGCAGACCGCAGCCCACTTAGAGAAGCTCTGGAGCGAGCTGAGGAGCTGTGCTCTCAGGTCAATGAGGGAGTCAGGGAGAAGGAGAACTCGGACAGGCTGGAGTGGATACAGAGCCACATCCAGTGTGAGGGACCTATAGAGGTAAAAACGACTCATATCAATGTATATCAAACTTTTAATTATGGTAGGTGTACAGTAGTTATATACACCCTCTACAAAGCATTTTATGTTGGATGCACTGATTCTGCTGGATTGTTTTACAAGAATAACTTTTTTGTAGTTTCCCTTCTCCATCACATATCGCTTTAGGATTTATGTTATCCATTACCTAAACAAATGCACACACGCAGTAGCAAACCCAGGAAGCATTTTTTACCAAAGCACTGTACTTGACAGTTTCCTTCCTTTGCTACATCTCTCCTCAGTCACGCTTTACTTTCTACCCGTCTCTCTTTCAGCACTTGGTCTTCAACTCGCTGACTAATTGCCTCGGGCCCCGCAAGCTGCTCCACAGCGGCCGGCTTTACAAAACCAAAAGCAGCAGGGAGCTGTGGGCTTTCCTCTTCAACGATTTCCTTCTCCTCACACACAGCGCCAAACCCTTCTCCTCCTCAGGACCAGACAGGCTATTCAGCCTCAAGGCCAACATACAGCTGAAGATGTACAAAACAGTAAGCGAGGCAGGAATGTAAAAACCTTTTGCGGTGTGAAAATACTACTCGTGTTGCTTTGGTTATGAAACAGTATTTATGTTCAGTCTTGCTCTCCTTATTTCATCCATCACTTCATTTTTTTCTGCAGCCACTGTTCCTGAATGAGGTTTTGGTAAAAATGCCACCCGACCCCTCCAGCGACGAGCCTCTCTTCCACGTCTCGCACATCGATCGTGTCTACACGCTAAAAACGGAGACGTTGAATGAGAGGTACGCCATGCCCATGTGCATCTTCACGCACTTCACCAGCGACCTAATCATGCCGTGTAAAAGGATTTATGTACTTATTTTGTCTGTAGGACAACGTGGGTCCAGAAAATCAAAGCGGCGTCTGAACACTTCATAGAGACAGAGAAGAAAAAGAGAGAGAAGGCCTATCAAGGTAAATACACTGACCCTGTGTGTGTCAGTGTCTCATAATATAGTACTAAGTTGATACAACTCATGTCACCATTATCTAAGCATGAACTTTTAAGATCCGCTGTTCAACTAGAGGGTTGTAGGTCAACATTTAATGGCTGTGTGTTTATTTTAGCTCGTTCTCTAAAGAGCAGCGGTATCGGCAGACTGCTGGTAACTGTCACTGAGGCCCAGGAGCTCAAAGCCTGTAAACCCAACGGTAATGCTGTCGGATCCTGTCACTCATATCAAGTCAGTGTTTGATATTTCTTTAAAAACAAAAACAAGAAACTAATATATGATGCATCATTTCCCTCCAGGTAAGAGTAATCCATACTGTGAGCTGACAATGGGGGCTCAGTGCTACACCTCCCGACCGGTCAGCGACACTCTGAACCCAAAGTGGAACTTCAACTGCCAGTTCTTCATCAAAGACCTCTACCAGGACGTCCTGTGTATCACTGTTTTTGAGAAGGACCAGTTCTCACCAGATGGTCAGTGGATGAGAGACACACACACACACACACACACAAAGAAAAAAGGATTATTAGGCTTTTTTTATGTCTAATTTGTCCTGCCAGTACAGAATGAAAGGAGTCACAGATTTCTCTTAAAGCGATAGACATTCCCCTTTCCATTATTACTTCCCTTTAATCCCCTTTTCTGTATTTTGTCTTTGTGACACGACTGTATATCTCTATCAATGTGTACGTTGGCTGTCATGCAGCAAGAAATTTCAGCACCGAAATGCCATAGACACCATATGTTAGAGGTCATTTAGGAACAATATCACCATTAACATATTTCACCCCCCAGAAAGGTTCATTTTTTTAAACCATAAAGTGTCCTGTTCTTTTTAGCAGTTTCACTAAATTAAGTTTTCTGCCTTTTCAGATTTCCTGGGTCGCACCGAGGTTCCTGTGGCAACTATAAAGAAAGAGATGGAGAGCAAAGGTGCTGCAAATCGTCGCCTCCTACTGCACGAGGTCCCCACGGGAGAAGTTTGGGTCAAACTAGACCTACAGCTTTATGAGCCAACAAAATAACACAGCCACACACACCCTCAGGCACACACCACTTCATTTTGAATGAAGAGAGGATATTTTGCGTACACATTAACAGCCGAACAAACCTAAAAGTGCCTATTTGTAGCATTGCCATTTAAAAACTCTGGATGCCCTGCTCTGAGCCACCCACATTCATTTAAGTGACCTCAAACAGAGCGGGAGGAGACCTTGCCAAAATGAATGACATATGTGCTCATAAGTAGTCACCTATCATGGAAAAAGGGTGTTCTAGATACCAACAAACCAGCTAAAATGTGAATGCAGCTGTCAATATTGTCGTGTTCACCACTCGTAAATGCAATTACACAAACACGCCTTGAATTGTAACCAGTTACATTTAGTAACATTTTGTCAAACTCATATTTACAAATTTTTACAGAATAATAATTTACTCTTAATGGAATACAGTCTTCATCTGTTTAAGACACACCTCACATACACTGTTACACATGCACCTGCCACATTTATCTTTTGTTATGTTGTACATTTCAAGTGTTGCACACTACTGTAAAATGTAATGTCATGTCAGCTCGATGGTGTATCTATGGGTTTTAAGTATGCCATTAAATCCTGAAAATGGCATGAATAAAATGTACATACAGTGAGCACTTGTCTTTGTTGTGGCTGAATGTTTCACTACTTTCTCGACATATTCTTGGTTTCCTGTAGTTCTACACAATAACGCTCTCAAGTATAGTACATGGTAAACTGTGAGGTAGTCAGAAGGGAACAGAGGTGATGATTTATGGTAAGTATGGATTTTATTTGGATGTAGCCTGAAGTTGCTGTGAACTTGCTGGCTGTTGCCGACCTCCGCATCTGGAGAGCCAGCAGCCGGTCTGATGGCACCTTCCATCTGGTGTGGCAGTTACTCTGATGTGGTGTGGTATGGTGTCGAGCCTGGATGAGACACATTTGCACAATGTCACTTCTCACATTATTTTAACTATGCTGCGATCCTTAAGTGATCCTGCAGCATTATAATAAAATGTGGTTTAAAACTCCTAATACTTTATATTTGTACCTGCTGGGCTTCCTTCCCTCAGCCTCATCCTTCACTGGAGTTTTCCCAGATGCAGAGACTGGATAATTAGATGAGGCCTGTAGGAGTGTGTCGGCTTGAAATGACACAGACTCGCGATGAGGACGATCACTCTGAGGTAGTTTGTTCTTACATCCTAAGACAGAAGGGAAGTCGGTTTACAGTTTAAAGAGCATTTAACCACAAATTTAATCACAAATCTGGGAAAAACTTGACATCTAATTAGGATTTACACTGAATTTGGGGTGAGTGAATCTGAGGCTTTGAGTAATGGGATAATTATGCATGCCAAACTACTATTTAGCATTTGCTAAAATGCTAAACTAATGACACAGCAGCACAAGTAGAGAGGAGTCATGAAGTCAGTAAAATGACTCAGTAATGTGCGTTATACAGCAATACTTAAGTTTGCTAACATTAGCCACCATAAGCTACTGGTCCTACCAGATCAAGTAAGGCTGTAGCTGAGTGGACTGAATCGAACAGTGTTGCATTTTATTGCTTACAATTTTCTTTTAATTTGTAACAGGATAATATGGTATTTAGTCTTATATCAACTCCTCCAAATTTAAGAGAAACTCGAAGCAGAGCATTCATATGGGTCTTAAATTAGCTTTTAGTTAAAAAATGAAAATACCCAGATACCTGCTTCACTAGAACGGACTGTTCTCGTTTCCTTCGGCATTTCATGTATCTGAAGGTACAATGGGTCCTTAAAGTCAGCTGGACTGAGCTGGGGATAGAGTCAGCGACAGATATAGTTGAAATATTTCAATATGCGCACAGCTGTTTTATTTTTAAATGTATTAAGTCACAAAAATCACCTTGAAGTAGTGTGGCTGTTTGATGCTGAGAAGAAAAGGATTGTATTCCCTTAGATCATAGGTTTCTAGAAACACAAAACCCTGAAGATTCAAGACATTACAGCGGTTAGAGAAAGTGAGATGGTTAAACATCTCATGTGTGAGTTATGTCTGAAAAGAAACATCTGTGTGAAGTCTGATGAAGAATTAAAAAGCATCCGTAAACAACAAGACAAAAGCCGTTAGTGTGCTGCCTTTCCGAAGCAGACTGGATAGCAGACAACCTTGGTGTTGCAGTGATGGAGGTAGTGACTGTATAACCTCTGGCGCCTCTTGGTCTCCACCGGGCTACAGCTGGACACTTGTTCCTCCAGCCTCCTCTGAAAGGGAAACCATACACGCTCAGTCCAGCGCTTGTGCTGCAGTTCCCTCCTCCTCAGCTCGGTCACATCCCGTTGGCTCAGAAACTTCTCCAACTCCTCCACAAAGACACGTATCAACCAACACGGGAGTACAGACACAAAGGTCAATATGTTGCTTTGTAATTCAGTTCCTTTTTTAAAGAATGAAACCATTAATGGCACACGGTCCGGCATCTTACCTTCACAAAACCATTTTCCGTATTCAATAAAGGTTGGATGATTTCTTCGGCCCGTTGGTTTTCAGCCTCCAACTTTGCCTACACAGTAAAACATGCAGTAAGAACATTCACCTTCATTTCTATATGCAGGTGTGAGTGTGGTTGAGGGCAATACCTGCAGTCGTCTGAGGGAGGTGTGAGAGAGCCAGTCCTGTTTGGCACACGGCCGTGGCCCACACGTTGAGGCCTCATCCCTGTTCCACGCTCTTACAGATTTAGCGGCGCTCCTCGGCCTCGCACTCGGCTGAGACGGACTCTTTCTGCTCTCTGTAGCGTCCTTCACATCTGACGCGAACTCCTGAAACACCAGCAGGGTCAGTACTATCTTCTGCTGTAGGTACAGTTGGCAGTGGACACTTCCATTTTCATAAAAGCACAAGCAAAGCAGATTTGAACATATGCACAGCTCCATGTGGACTGTAAACTCTTGGAAATCCCCGCTGGAGTTCACAGACAGACCAGACACAATCATGTAGGTGAGCAGAAGGCAACAGAGGCCAGCACAACAGGCAGTGACATGATCTGTCGCTGCCTGGAAACCTGAACTGCATCTCACTGTTACACAAACACACATGGTGGGACACGTATGGCAAAGCACTAACACAAAATTAACTTTAGCATCAGTGTGAAGATGGCAGCTTCCTCCCTCCCTTTTGCTGCGGTTGTCTGGAATAACACCAGTATCTGAATGATGCTCGGCTGGTTCGTCATCTGATCCGGCACCAGGCCTTTATTTTTTATTTTCTATTGTCCTGAATTAAGAGAGGATTACGGTGGCTACCGTATCTGTCTGTCAATAACCTGAAACCTTTCCATTCATCTTTCCTAGCACACTGAGATTCAGCGTTGTTCAGACTGTGCAGACAGAGAAAGAGGCAGCCAAGCAAACACTGTACCTCCGCAGTCTCCCTGACATTAAAAGACCAGTGATAAATTATTAGTTGGCAAGAGTTCACAGTTTCACTCTCACTGTGAAGAGGGGGAGAGTATGGAGCTATACCACATTTAAACTTTTTCAGTAAAGGCAGTGAATGTAACCCTCTTGTTTCTTAATAAATCTCCTGTTGAGCAGTCACTTAAACTCTTATTATTCTTTAATTACCAAAGGCTCATGATTAGTATGTGTGTCTTTAACATACACATAATGTGATATAAAATAACATAGCGTACAATCAATGTGTTTTTTGGAAATACTATTTAGCTCTTTCTGTTATAGCTGCAGCAGCATGTATTTTTTGTTTACCTGTGACTTCAACAGGCTGACAGGAAAAGGTGTGTGGAAGGTGATCACACCCCGGGCTGTGTTTCTCCTCCTGGGGCTCATCCCTAAATCATGAGGAGAGATAAAGTCTTAATGCTGCACGCTAAATACATCTATCAGTGATTAGCTGTTACATGATAAGAACAGTATTGCATGACGTTAAGTTAAATCTAATCCATATAACTTAGTGTCTTCTAATTTAGTATTTACCAGCTTTGTCACCATAGCAATGCTGTGGTTTCTTACCGTTGTTGACTTGAGGACGTTTATGGCAGAATTTGAAACAGGAAAAACAGCAACAATGTGCAAAATTAAAAACATTAATAATTGTTAAAGTGTAGCGACGGCGACGACTAACTATCTGCCCCCTCTCTCTGGCTTCAGTGTGCAGACAGCGGGAAGCGGGAGAGGCCTCCTCCAGGTGTCCTGCCGTCTGAAGGGTTTTCCGTTGCCATGACACCGGCGCACACCCGAGCAACCACACGTTCTCAAGACGCAAGCGGCGTTCAGCGCGAGGCTCCTCTGTGCCGTAGGTGTGGCTGTTATGGCAACGAAACGTCCTAAATTTAAATGTGGGCCGAATGTATCGTTACAGGTGTGACAAGTGACGACATAACGGGTCAAATACAGACAAATTATTACATTTTAATGTCAGTTATTACATGTTTTAATTGTCAGTGTATGTACTATTTTTAATGTCAGTTATTACATTTTAATGTCAATTATGAATTTTTTTTTAAAGTGCGTTGAGAAATGTCTTGAAATTCCCGCTCCTGTGTAAACCCAAACTTAATTTGTTGAACTTAATATTTGTTTTTGCATTAAAAATTGTAACAACTGCGATATTTATTTTAGCTAAGGGGATTGCTCCCACCTTTTCTGCCACACACGTGTGTCTAACTTGGACACAGACTGTGTTTATCCACCCGAGTAGGCTATAAACCCATGGTAGGCTATATGTGTACAGACTGGGACAGACTGTATCCTCTATTAGAGTTTAGGCCCTTTACTGTTATATGAAAGAGTAATCGGAGCCTTAATAACAGCCAATTATATTCAAAGAGATCAGGAGTGAGGAAGACAAAATATTCTAAAAATAAAAAATTCTAGCCTATGATATAGGAAAATACTGCAAGTTTTAAGTATAAAATAAGATTTTCAAAACAATGTATGTGCAGTAAAACTTTCAACAATCAATTAATTGTGACTATTTTGTTCTCCATTTGTGAAGAGCTGTCTGTTGGCTGTAAGGTGCAGTAGGTTAATGAGTGTGTCGCTCTTAATGCGCCTGTTGACACCTCATGTGCACTTTCAAGGTGTTCCGCAACGCTGCGACACCTGCGGAGAATGCCACTACTTAATGTTTAGGTATTAGCTGCGTTAAGGCAGGGCAGGGCTTGGCCAGATCATAACTTGGGATTTTTCGCCGCTTTCTTTCTTTTCGTTGCCGGGTCCAGGACAGGGGGGAGACTACATGGATTGGTGGACTTCGTTGGCAGCCAGTATTGCCCTGCTCTGGATCTTCTGCTTTATAGACGGTAAGAGAACATGGTTAGTTGGGGATTTGGAAGCTTTTCAGGAACTGTGTGGCAACCTCACGGTAGCTGACATTAACTCACAGCACAAGATATACGACTGTTTCTCTGCACAACATGTAAAATAGTCTGTTTCTTCTGTTTTTTTTCTGGCAAAAAACATAAATTATCTTTACTTGCAGTCCTGCTTAGAATTAAAATTCAAAGGATGTTTGGCGCACTGGGATATTTTTCATCAGGAAAGCATGACAATTAATTTTACGCACGTTTCTCTGAGCTTCATTAGAATAAACGCTGCCGCAGGGGTAGCAGGGCACCTTTGAGCGTTAGGTTGTGTATCTTTAAGTAAGAAGGCCTAATCTTGGCTCTTGGGCTTTCTTAAAAGAAGTTGTAATGAGACAAACTCTGACATTTCTTTTAAGATTAATCACTCTAATGATCCTTTTGCTTCATTGTTTCAAGACATAATCGTAACAAAGTACGACTGCAAAAGAAAGGAATATAGTTTAAGCAGCCTTAAGGCTTTGATATTGGTCATTTTGTGGATGGCTCCCGTGCTGAGGGCCGCGCGTAAAGACGGGCCGTGTCACCCGCTGTTCATGCTCAGATGATACCTGCCGCCCACATGGCTTGGTGAACAGACTTTAATCCAGTGGCAGACGCTGTTTGTAATGGTTGCTGACATTAGCCACGGTGTTAAATTAGACTCCAGCTGACCCCGTTACCCTCTTATCTCCAGGCAATGCCGTGCTTGAGCTGCGGCTGCTCTTCCATGCTCTGACCAAAGCTGCATGCCACCTGTACCTGGCCCTGCTCCCGCTGCGCCGAGCCGCCACCCACTTCGCCGACTGCGCGAGATACCTGGTCAACCATGCCCAGCAAAGCCCCTCCCCGCACGGGTACCACCACCAGAGCCAGCCCCTGGCCAGGAAAGGCACGCTGCACTTTCTGGAGGGCATGTGTGTGGTGTGCGAGACGGTGCCCAACCTGATGGGCGCAGCGCTCAGCGTGGGCGCCGCCTTCTGCCACATGATGCAGGGAGGTTTCTACGTCCTGGCGGCCACGCTGCGCACCATCCAGATCAACCTCTTCTCCCAAATGAACGGCGAGAAGGATCGATGGGACAAAGAGCGGCACAGAGCCAAAGAGAGCGAGAAAAAGCTAAATTCTAAAGTGTTGGAATACATCTCGGTGTTTTGTCAAGACCCCGTCAGCGCTTTACGCATCAAAGTTGACGTACCACCCGTGTATAGATAATCTCTGTCCATGTAAAATACACACATAACATAATTGGCGCATAAGAGGCCTTCTTCTAACTGCTGAGGGGTTACAGGTGCAGGCAGAGATGACAGGAGGTTGAACTTTGACCTCTGGTTGTCGCTCACTGTTGTTGAGGGAATAGTACCAACAGAAATGATGTTTAAGTGTGAAAAAGTCAAGAATCTATGGTGCATTTTGTTACATTTGTTTTACATTTATTGTAAAGAAGTAAAAATAAATGTCTCAAACAAACAAAACCTCACATCTTTGATGGGTTATGGTATTTGACATTGTTAAAGTATTTAGATTTTTATCGGTATATTAATGTACATACAATCAAGTGTCATAAATCAGTGTTTACTATCTAATTGCACTTACTATACCAACAATCAAGTTTTATTGTAAAGTGCTCTATTGTTTCTCTATTGGACAAAAACACACTAACACAATGTAACTGATTAAAATACAGTTATTTCTCCGTATCTTAATCCACAGGCGTCACTAGAGCATCAGTCATACATACGTCTATTCTTCATCAACTCATTCTGATTATAGGCATCAAACAAAATCAGCAATACTGGCACCTTTGGGTCACCATATCAGGTCTTTGTAGCTTTATCTTAGCCCTGTCAGATCTGTAAGGGATGAGAGCAAGGACACAGAGAGGGGGAGGAACGCTTGCCAGGTTAAGTCTGGCCACTGGTGTCCAGGATAGAAAGTATTTTGTCTGAGGGCAGAATTAAGGTGCAGCACACCTCCCCTGATGGCTGCATAAAAGAAGGCACAGAAAGAAGAAGAAGAAGGAAGTGAAGTGGGGAAAAGGAGGAAGGGTTCATGTTTCGGGTTAACAGGACTGTGAGCTCATACTGAAGATGCATCTGTTCCAACGGAGACTAAAGTCTGGCGTCAGGTGTCGTCTGGAGCATCTGGGGAGGGATTTTCCCAGCTACAGTGAGAGAGGAAAAAGAATCAGTCTCTCAGGATTTATGTGCTGCTAAACACAAGCAAGGGCAAAAACAAAATCTCAAACACATGGTGAGGACATCTAAGTCAATGTAAGAGTATTTTAAAGGACCCAAAGTGACTTAAATCAAAGTTTTTATCACAACTTACAGAGAATGTCTCCAATTCTTCTGACAGCTGCCTTGTTCACTCTGTATTCATTCTGCTCAGACCTGTGATGGTGAAACAGATAGAGAAACTTAACAAGTGTAACTCTGGCATCAGAAAAACAGACAGCTTATCAACCACCACAGAAAATGAGCTTAAAACCAAACAGATTTGCGGGGGCTAATCTTGTTACTCACGCCCTCAACTTTGTCACAGCCTCCAGCCTCCGCAGAGCCGACAAAACGTTTTTCTGCGTGTCGGATGACAGCGCTTCATAGGTGTGAAGCTCACCTGAGGCACACAGATATAATGATGGTGAAGGCTGATAAGAGTTTAACAAAGCTGGAGATGATTCCAGAGGTCAGGGGTCATGTCTGCCACTTTCTGTTTTACCTGAGAGGATGAGCTCTGTGGCCAGGTTTCGCACAGCAGGTAGGAACTGTTTCTCAGAGAGCACATGAACTTCCTCTTCACAGAGGTACCTGAACATCACCTGGACATGAAATACACACCAGATCAAACAGAAGGAAAAAAATCTGCCTATTTTTACTATTTTGGTATATTGGTATAATCAGAAACTTACTGGATCCATTTACTTGAGTAACCCTAACCCTAAATACTGGGAGTATATCTAATCATATAATCTAATCATAAGTACACTATACGGACTGGTATATTTTCATTCAATGAAGCATAAACACAACAAAAGAGCAGTGTTAAACAAAAAGAAAATCTAATATCTAAAAAAACAAAAGAAAGTTAATTATTTGGAATTGTTATATTTAATTTATTGGATTATAGCAGATCAACTGTATTTTCTGCTATTTTCATTTAAACACAGTCAACAACTGCTTATAAACTACTAAACAAACTAAACTCTAATTAAAATAGTTTAATTTCTCTATTTCAATTATATCCAGGTAACCTTTTGTAAAATTATTGCTCCAGTCTCAACTAACCTTGGTGTCTCCAAATTCCAATGAGACAGAATTAATTGCTTAATCATGGCAGGGCGTGATCACTGACAGAAAATATTATAATGAAAAAATCAAAACGTCAGACAGAGAAAATCTGGACTGCAGCTGACTGAGCCACCAAATAACCTGAATCTCATCTAAGCACGTGGCGTGTTATCACGGTCTGAAGAGGCAAAAGTCA